ATGTGCGTTATGCCTTTTTAAGTTTATGCCAGAAGAAAACACGAAAATATTAAAGCAAGATAGACAGGGGAAGCACAATATAATAGGAGATAGAACAATCGTCACTTTAAAACGAAATTTTTGCTAATTTTTTCCCTCAAAATGTTACCACGATGCGACACATTGGCCCGAATTCACAAAGCAAGGTTTGAGCTCAAACCTCCTTTTGTTTCGCCAAACCTCCTTTTGTTCTTTACAAACCAGGTTTGTAAAAAACGCGTAAAACGCGTCATAATGACGTACGAAAACCAAGGTTTGTCGACAAACCTCCTTTGTGAATTCGGGCCAATATGTCCACAAAAGACATGTAAATGGTGCTGTATGCACATTTAGCGGTGAAGTATATCAGGATCAAAAGATGCGAGGAAAACCATATTCCCATGGGGATACAAAAAGATCACAGGGGAATTAGCAGGACTATTAGCAAATTTGTTTTATTGTCTATTTTCATTTAGGGTAGAACGAAATCAGAACGTGACACAACAATCCATAATTTCGCGTCGCATTTTTTACGATAAAAATCTTGATTCACGGTTGGTTCATTCTGTAGTCTGTACTGAATATCTTCATTCAATCATTTTTGAACATGTAGTTCACAGGTAAGGTTCAATTCGCATGGGCGAACATGGAGATAAGATTTAATGAGACGCCTACCTGTTTATTATACCGGTAAAAACCAACTGATTGGACTCATAATAAGAGACGGAATGAAGACAACGCTGGTGAATAGATTTTTATAGTGATGATAATACTACAACCATACGTTATAACAAATTTATTACAGTATTATGAGTAGCCAAAAAGCGAATGCTGAAAATGTTAATTACTCAGAAATTCATAAACCTTGAAATTACATTTCATTTCAAGATACGATCTCTCTGCAATGAGAAAAAACACTTAAAGGCGCTCCACGGTTTTGGTCTTACACTATTAAATGTACATCAAATTGAAATTTTTTACTCTGTTTTACCTTAAAAGTGACACTTCTTTTTATATTGAATCTGAGACATTAAAACATTATAAGGAATATCATTGCTGTCATCGAGACGTGGATTAGATGATACTCTTGCCATGGTTTGCACATTTGAATTTACACTTAAATACAATTATGAAGGTGATCACTGGTCAGGGAATTTCATTTTATAACAGAAACTGTTGAAATCTCATTCATAAATTTGGATAATACCCAATAACTTTATATTGTGACGTTTGGGATCATGAAAATAATTACAACCAGACTAAATCTGGCTAAAAATCATTAACATAGAAAAGTTATGTACGAGGGACGATGCACAGTATTGGCAACGGAAGTTTTAAACTAAATTAACTATAATGATATTAAAGACTGGAGAAATAGAAATCATGTTCTGATTAGTTACGTAATACGTCAATCGGAATGTTCCCATATTTCATTACTTGATGGAGAAGGCTGTTTTAATAACTTGAGGGAGATATTTGTAAGTCTCTGCAATCGTGCTTTCTACATTCATATATTTAGAACGAGCCGTTTCTTTGGACGTTGCTACTTTGCTACATTCCTCCACGTGAAATGAGGAAACTGACAAATTAGTTTTCACCTTTATATCAGAACTAGAATGTCTTTTATACAGCTGGTATACACGAAGGATGTATTGATGAATATAAACAGCAATAACGAAGCGGAAGGCATATTGTTGCTCTTATTTGATTAGTATGATTTGTCAATATTTGAGAATAGCGAGTGAGTGATTGTTTGGAATTTGATTAGACTGCGGGTTCTGTTTGAACGAGTAATGTTTGGGATCATTGGTTTCACTGCAGGGTTTATGCAGAATGTCTAGCCGTGTCAAAGATTTTCCCTTGCTGTAGCGGGGGGGGGGGGGGGGGGGGGGGGGGCGGGGGCGGACTGTTCCATATTTTGGCTTCAGGGCCATTCGATGTGATCTGGTATACGTTGTGTGGGTCGGTCACATCGAAATTTCCTACCAAATTTCCATCCCAGTCCGCCCTTAGTTTGAACGTTAAATGTCGAAATAGATAGGCCTATTACATTTTTATAATAATATGATTTCAGGTTTATAAAGTTGATTGTCATTTTCAAATCACCCACTGATGTAGAAATTATTCATATATATATATATATATATATATATATATATATATAATGGGGTTTGGTTAGGATATGGCTGTCTCATATCAATATGAGGAATATAATTTAAATAGTGATGAAAGATTACAAATCAAATCATGATTAATTACCAAGTTGACGGATCTACACTAATTGAATTATCGGTGAGTGAATGCAAACTGCGCCATTAATTTTATCTTCCGGTAGATATAGACTTGTCAGCATATTACGTAAGTTGAACTAATCTCAAATTGTCTTTATGATTGATTGGGAGTCATGGGTTGAATAAAACATGAGGGAAAATTGAAGTAAAATGCGAAGGGAAATTGCACAACATTATGATTCTAATGAATTCTTTTACAGTCATTAATCAATTCCATTCAAAATGCAATACCATTCAAATTCGATTTTAACAAATTGATGTCACTGTTGTATATAATGTTTTGAAATTTACAAGCTGATGGTTACATTGAGTACGTATATAAGACACTATCGTTAGCTATATTTGTACAGAAGGAGTACATGATTATATCGAGAGAGTCGTGTAAAGGGGGGGGGGGGGCTAGGGAAATGTTGTATTTAATGATCTGGAACTGGGAGTGGTGTCAGGATATCGGATAACATTACCGACGTGCGAGCACAGAACTGTTTTTCTTGAGAATCATTCTAGAATTTCGCTGACTTCGCAAAAGTCTACTCCGTCACCAATTATCCGATCATCGAATGTGTCATCGCCAGCGTCATTAAGAGGTAACATGTCCGACCCATGAGGGGAAAATGTTGTACCCCTTTACCCCAAGGGAATTAGTCGTGGCGTAACCAGTGTTATACGGGTTGTAAAGAGGGGGATGTATATGTTTTACTCTGTTCCGCAGGCGAAATAATGGTTATGTATCAATAGGGAGAAATGTGGCATACCCCGAGGATTTTAAGGATGGCGTAATGGCTGTTGCAGGTGATAGGGGTTGTAAAGGGGGGGGGGGGGGGAATGTTGAACCTCAATACCCCAAGGGAACTAGTGGTGTCGTATAAGTGTTACGGTTGGTAGGGGTTGTACAGAGGGTTAATGGTGTACCTCTTTACCCCATAAGGAATTAGTGGTGCATGGCGTAGCCATTGTTACCCTTGATTTGGGTAGTAAAGAAGAAAAAAGCATGAATTAAATTTTCTTTAGTTTCTTTGGGGAAGAAAAATGATGATATATCGGAATAAAAGTGTAAAATAGACTAGAAAGTTTCATGAGTCACATTATTTCATTTCATAGCGTATAGTTTCAATGATATTTTTGATACGTAATGAATAAGTTGAGTACGAAGACAATAACAATACAAAACACGTGATGGGGAATGGAAATGAATGGTACTACCTAATTTTTTTTAGGGGGGTGTAGGAAATTATCGTTTTGGAGAACGTTTTGGAGAAGAACATTTTTTTTAGGCATTAAGGCCATCATTTTGGGAACAAATCATTGATATTGATTGCGACTGAAACTGAAAATCATGGTAGCGTCCATAGGGATCATGATGGGTAAAGTCTAAATTAATGTATTTTATTATACATTGCTTCCAATCAGAAGAATAAAAATTGTTCATCTTTCAAATGTTATTATTATTTTATTGGATGAATTGGGAGTGACAGACGGGACTTTCGGCTTCGAGAATGCAGACCTGTCATTTCATAACTAGACTCTGATGACATGCACTGGAGACTGATGGAAGTGATGTCTATACGTAATCTATGCGCATAAAGAGATAATCGCCTGTCAACTATCATAAGAAGTGATGTCCTGAGATTGTGATAGGCATTACTGTATAACGCCCCCATCAAAATATCAGGATAAGAATAGTCTTGTTGAACTCATAATATTTTTTGAAGACTTCCTCATGTATTTTATATTTATTCTTTATATAATTTGCATGCCCTCACGTTGACCACAATGCAAGAAAAACGCTCCACGGTAATTGGAGATGGTGCACAAATGCACATTACGTGTACATAATCATTTTCAGTACCTACCATATATTTCATTGCAATAATACAATATCAAGTCGATATACGAAACAGTGGCGTAGCATAGGTCTAGACATTGAAGGGTCACCGGCAATCATGGGAGGGGGAGTCATCGCTCTTATTAGATTGATGAAGCGCAAATTAATAATAAATTCATTAATTAGTTCGGCAGATGGTGTCTCTTTGGGGGTCTCTGCTTTGCCATTTTATTTGTGTCACGTGCCTCTTTATAGCTGCGTCACTGGTATACAATACGAATACAAGGAATTGTCCCCGTTGTCTGTGTCAGCCCTAAATTAAAACTGACTTCGCCGACCATACTTACGACCAGACACCGTGTATCCAGTCAAATATAGAATACAGCGTATATTTCCACTTGAACTTCATGGTGCACATGAAATGTGAGAGACACTTTATAGAATCGTCACCTATAAATTTATTAGTATGTGGACGTGCAGAAAATTATTCATTTATTTGCAAAATGATAGTATGTTGCGTTTAGACCGCTTGATATTCAGGCACGTAGCCACGGGGGGGGGGGGGGGGGGGGGCACCGGGGGGGGGGCACGTTCCCCCAACAATTTCCAAGATCGGTTGAACTTTTTTTCACCCCTTTTTTTACCTCGATCGATTACATGTATATGCCCCCCTCCCCCCAAACATCAAACTCTGGCTACGGGCCTGTTGATATTCAACCGTATCGTATAGAACATTCAAATATACACGCATGTCAGTTTTGTACCCTTCTGTCGACGTCACTCGTTGTTAAGATAAGAGCAGATTCTTTCAGATCATGTTCGGCACGTTTTATAACTCCGTGCACTCCTCTTTCATTTCTTTTCAGATCTGTTGCATCAAGCAAGTCCCTAACCTATACACGAACCTGGTAAGTCGATTTCATCGACTTTGTATTAGTGTTTTATCATTTATATTAAACCGTCACTATAGTTATGCTTGTACGATTTTCGTTTATGTTTATACTCAGCGGGGAAAAATATTAATTTGTAAGTAAAAGAGTCACGAGAGAAAGAGAAAGAGAGAGAGAGAGAGAGAGAGAGAGAGAAGGAGGCAAAGTGGATAGAAAATGATATGACCCCACCCCTTCCCTCACTCGCTTATATCGAAATAAAATCTGTCTCTTAATGAGTCGCTAGTTCGTCAAAAATAAATTGAATTATGATGGATTTAACAGCCTTTCAAATAAAAGAAATATAAACAAAAGAAAGACAAAGGAAGCGGAAAAGGAAACGAAGAAGGCAGAGACGAGATGAAAAAATATCATGACGAATGCTGATGTAATAATCATGACTCGAATCATCAGACCGCATTAAAGCAGAGTTTACATCACATTATATCATAATGACCGACATTGCCTGCCACTCCCAAACTCTTCATGATGTTTAACCCTGTATGCAATCTCAAAGATGATAGGAAATTATCACATAATCCCTATACCATTGGGACCTTACTCTTCTCTTCCGCTCTCTCAGCTCTCGGAAACTCTTCAAGAGCCGTTCTCATAATCTTAAAGTAACGAGACTCATTATTGGCAATATAGATGCATTTATATTATCGCTCGCATTATGCCCACATAATTCAGATAATTTAGAAATGCGACGGTTTTCAAGATATTTTGTAACAGTAACAGAGAGAGGATCGGAGTAAAAGCTATAAAATGTTGTATGTATTGGGACTGAGAGGGGGTTATGCAAGCGTAGAATTTGAATGTACAATCGATTAGTTCACATGTATTTAATTTTTAATAGCACTTTAGTTAATTAGATTTATTAAAAGTAAAAGAATAATAAAAATACATATATACCGAAGTCAAGATTAGTATTTTTCCTGAACGCGGATTCACGTACATGTAAATCTACCACCCCTCCCCCTCTGTCGAAAACTCATGAGCGGGGATCGAAGATCTTTGCTGTTTTCAAACATTTACCCCCCCCCTCCCCTCCATCCCATTTTGCCAATTTCTGGATGAACCCAAGCTGACCCTTGTACTCCGCCCCCCTCCCCCTCTTTGCATTCTCCTACATCCTGTCCACCATCTCGTTTTGCATCTTTTCTTCCAGCTTTATTTTGAGTGTTTGATTCAAATACTTTAGTACATACTATGTTGTAGATGTGTCGTGGTCTGGTGGATAATTCACCGGACTACGGATTCAAACTATCGGGTTCGAGTCCCTGCCACCGTAAAAAGGACATTACCCCCCTTTGACAATTACCCCCCCCCCCCCCCTTGACAATCACCCCCGGAAAACTACCCCTGGAAACCCCCCCCCCCCCCATGACTATAAGCCCCGGAATATTACCCCCGGAAAATTACCCCAAGGACAACCATCCCCCTCCGTTGACAATTACTCCCTCTAGGACCCCCCTGAAAACTACCCCCTTGGACAATCACCCCCCCCCCCCCCGTCGCGAGGACAATTACCCCCGAAAAATATGCTTTTATTCAAACCAACTTATTATCAGGGTACTAGGCTTTCCCTTTAATCAACAGGGGTTGGGCGATTTCAAATATTTTTTAAAGTCAGTGATAACGGACCCTTGTTCTAACCACCAGAGTAAGACCGTAGATTATCCCCGGTAGACCACAGGCCCCTGGAAGACAACATTTTGAGAATAGAAGAGCTAGCTATCGGAAAGACAAGGATTTCCTTGGACCTATTAGCAGGAAGGTGAATGTAAACTGATAATCATTAGCCGCCAGTCTTCCACAAATTAAGATAGAAGGGAGAAGGGAAAAAAAAGGAAATACGTCAAGAGAATTCTTGACATGTGATACGTCCTTTGGAAGTATATTCCTTGAATCTTTGACATTTGAAAATGTGTTAAAATACCCTTGGATTCATAGTTTCCATGCAGAAAGAGGTTCGTAAATGCCTTCTAAACTCTTTCTAGCGCTCAAACGCTATAGCTCTTAAATTAATGATGCACACTCCTGATGGAGTCTTCACTCCTGCATCCACGTTTCAAAAGACTTCAAATACCAGGGAGATGAGAGTGCAAATACGATTAGTTTCTATTTATCATGTATGTGTGAAAGTTTCGGGAACAGTAGCCCGAGGGTAAGAAAGGAGGTGGTACCCCCGTCCAAACCTTGTAACCTTGCTTATTTTTCCTGTTCTTTTGTTGGTGTATTTTTAGATCCTGATCGATATGAATATTTAAATGAGAAATCCCCAACCTCCAACATGGCAAGGATCCTACAACATTTCGCAGGGGTGCGAGACATAACTGATGTATATCCTATACTTACTCACATCACCTCAAAATTGCATTAGGCATTAGGAAAATAGTTACTGATAATCACAAACAGTATGACAGTTTTCTTGATCTGATAATAAAACCTTCGCAACTACCGAACAAATTAATATAATATTTTGTTTTGGTTCGGCGTTGAAACGGTTCGTAAGATGTATAGCCTTTAGGCCTACATGTTTATTTCTTGGCATAACATTCATTAGATCGTCACGGTTATCATTGTCATGATAATAAGTGTTCCTGCAGAATCATCTAAGTGTAAAATCAACAAGCAACACCACCATCTGTTATATCTGATCTTTCAGACTGTGAATCAATATCATTTGTATTAACAGTTTAAGACTTTAAGACCAATAGTAATACTTGACAGCAAAATCATATGATTGAGATTAATTGTCAGACTGATTACCTAGTTAAATCACGGGAGGAGAGGTGCAAAAGAGAGAAAGTGGGGAAAGGGAGGGAGAGAGAGAGAGAGAAATAATAAAGAGAGGGAGAGAGTGAGTGAGAGAGAGAGAGCTAGAGTAAAGAAAGAGATAACTTCTGAGCGGCAGACAAGGATAGCAAGCTCATAAATTTACCCCAATTTTCCCTTTCAACATCAAAATAATTCTCGTTATTAGGACATACAACAATAGGAATCCTATAATCCTATAATAATAGGAAACATAAAAATAAAATCTTACAAATCTTACAATAGTACAGCCAAGAAAGTACCATTTACAGAAATCAGGCCTCCTAATAATAAAGACATCATAATTAACATTATGTGTGTGAAAGAGAAGAAAGTTTTCTGGAGTCATCGCGTATCATATTATCAGATTGACCCTTTCCTGTTTTGGCGGGTAAACTTATTTTTCCTGCCATTATAAGCACCCGATGCTTACATAATACATTGAGTATCAACATACAGGCTTTGGAAGGGAACCAACTCAAATCTCACCTGATCTCGTGTCGACGGAACAAATTTGTAAAGAGATTTCCCGTCATTATTGTGTTGTTTCCAGTTCCTTAAAGGTGTAGACCAGTTATGGTCATGCGATTACATTGTGAAAGAAACGTTGTGTAATCGATCAGAAAAGTTTGATCATCTAGCATATAAGTACTGGTGTGAACTGCAAGGTTTTGCATGGAATCATCAAAATGATAAGAAATTTGGCCCAGTCTTGTTAAAGTTACAAGCACTGTACACAGGGACTGCGCGATATCTATTCAGGCCGGATCGATATGATAATTTACCAAGTACATCAATTAGTAAGCGGTTTCCCGGCAAAATTTGTATCATCACGTATTAGTATTAGTCAAAACATATTCTTTCACAAGTCATGATTGGTAATGAGAGCTTCCGTTTCATTTATTGATAGGGGGCGTTTCCAATACTGGTCTAGCCTATACCTTAAAGATAAAGTAATTGCGTCCTGGTCGTGCAATAAGCTTGCGAAAGAATCTTTCTGAAAGCAATTGGGAATGGTTAATTATGTATATACTGTGAGGTTTCGTAATCATCACATTAATGAGACACGAGACATCAGTCTTGATGCCTTGCACATGCACTACACACAAAGAATGGGTGTGTGGGACTTCACTCAACATTAATGTGGCTCGACTGTTTGGTCAAATTGCTGGTATCTCTAACTTTGGTCAAATCACTCGTTGCAATTTGAATATGGGCATTTGAAGAGCAAGTTTGTCAAGGGACCTTTCTATTATTACTTTTTTTCCAAACTGACCCGAAACTGATAAGAACGAGAAGTTACCACTTATTTTTCACCTTTACCAAAACTCGACCTTCTCCTTAAAGTACCTCCATGACACGCGTCGCCTTGAGGTATGTGTTCTCAATACATAGCTGCTCGTTGTAATTAAGCTTTTGTGCCAATCATAATGGCACATAATGTGACTACTTTGCCTCGCTTGGGTGGCCGAATGATACTTGACAAACAAACGAAATCGGGTGAAGCTAATAAGCACACCTGCAAGAGGCAGGTAAAGGAACTTTGAGTTTTGCAGGTGAAAGGGATTAGTTTTCAAGTTACAGCACACTCTGCCTATTACAAGTTGTTTTGGAAGAAAACAGTAAGAAAAAAAAAACAGAGAAAGAGATTGGTGAAAGTTTGGACGAAATCACATAAGGAATAACATCTTTTCTATAAGTTTGGAAAGTTTTAATGACTACATTTTGTTATTGGTGCCAAATCTAGACAGCAACATGTCAAGAAAAAAAGAACGAGAAAGTCGTAGAATGATTTGCAATATACGAACGCATGAAATCAACCCCCACCTCTCTCAAAAAAGAAAGAGAGAGGGAGAGAGAGAAGAGAAGGACGAGTCAAAATTTCCTTTTAACACCCTAGATGATATAATCATTGCAACTTGGCCTCTTTCAAATATGACTTTCCAAATGTTGTAGATAAAATCAAATATCTTGAATGAAAGTTTAAATAATCTGAATAATACCCTGATCAGGGGAATGTACCAACTTTTTGGTATACCTATGAATTCAGGTTTTGAAGGATGTAGAAGATAAGTTGTAATTAATTTGAAAAAAAATTAGTTCATGAAAAAAATTAAATGTCAGATGCCTGTTTATTTCCATGTGTGCTCTTTCAATAT